TTGTATGCAAATTGAAAAGGCTTGAAAACCAACATAAATAATCTGTTAAAATGTTGATAAAGAGAGATGATAAGGGTACATACATATGTGGATCTTCATGCATTACAGCAGTTTCTTGAGCAAACGTATCCTGTAAAACCAAGTCGTCTTTTTCTCCATCTGCTTCACCCTTATCACCACCTTTGGGAACCAACCCACCAGCATTGTTGACGCCACTAACTACAACAGTTTGCCCTGTTTTAACAATCGTTGGGACTCCTGACTTCCTCTCCCTCAGTTTCTGAAGAAATTTGATCTCTTCTAAAGCTAATCTGTGTTTATCAATCGTTGTTAGACCACATGTTAGCCATGAATTAGAACATCAAACTCGTAAGCTTTGTTGATTTAAATATTTAGCTTCAATTTAGACCAAGAAAATATAGAAACCCTAGCAGAACATTTGAATCAATAAAACCCAAAAGTAAAAAATGAAATTGGAGAAGAAACCCAGCTCATAAAGAGAAAGAGTGAAGAACACCACTCACCGCATCTCATTGTTGTCTTCTGTAACTCTTGTTTGTTCATCTTCTTCGTATGTTATACTTCATTTTTGAAATTTTTGCTCTTCTTCATCTTTTACAGCTTTTCTATCATCTTTTACAGCTTCGGGTTCTCTCTTGGCGCCTCAAAGTCTCGATACGTCTTACTCAATCAAACAAGAAATTATTTTCTCTCTTTTCTTTCTACACAGGATGATGATGATGATGATGATGATGGATGAAAAGGGTCAATAGATTTAGGGCTTGAATATGGAACAAATAGAGAAGACAGAGAGAAATGGTGAAATCGATCTACAGGGAAGGTGGGTGGGAAGCGGTGAAATCGATTTAGGGAAAATGTTCTATATTTATCTTTGCTTCTTGGCGTGATATAAGGAATTGTTTTTATCTACCATAATTAACTATGTAAAATTTACTATAATACCCTTAAATGATTTATTTAATGATTTTTTTTCCTAATTTCCTATTAGTGCATTCATGCACACAATAGTTGCTAGAAACATTTTAACCTAACTTTATATATATATATATATATATATATATATATATATATATATATATATATATATATATATAATTGTTAATTCTATAAAAATAATAGATTTTTGTATTTAAATAAAAAATATATATTAGTTTAAAATAATCAATTTAAAAGTCTAAACAAAACTTATATCTTATTAGTTTAATAAAAATTTATAAACGTTTTACCGGTGGTTTCACGGGTTGTAACCTAGTTATAGTTTATAATAATATAATAATTTTGAGTATTGTGATTGCATTTGTTTTATGATAAAATTACAGAAATAAAATATAATATTTTTCTTTATAATATTAAAATTACATAAAAACTATATAAAACAATAGGTAGAATAATTTTAACACGACCGATACGGAATAATGCGTTTAGTAATTTATATACCGACTTATGTATTTATTTTTCTTTTAATTATAATGATTCCATCACACATTTATCTAACACCTTCATAAGTAACCTGTAAAAAAAATGCATGTTATGAAATATATTTGATTACAAAAATAAATACAAGTAAAAAGAAACATGTCGATTTATTTGTGGACCCAATTGATTCCCAAAACTACAACTTATTTTCTCACATAGAGATGGGGTATTGCCGTCTTGGGGTGCATACATAAACTTATGATCATGATATTTATCATGAACCGAATTACTGTTATTGCTACTTCTTCTACTTCACTCGATCTTTACTCTTTTATTCCTTTAGGTTTGGAGAATTTAAGATACCCAATCTATAAAAACTAAAAATCAAATATTTACTTTTCTTCAATCAGAATCCAAATACAAATTTCCTCGCTTGAAAAATGTATGTTGACATAATGCGTACAGTTTCTCAAACTCACAACCAAACAATACAATTAACAGTTTAGGTATATCATAAATGCATGTAAATACGGTGTGTTGTGGCCTGTGAACTACCAAAAACACACAGTTCACCATCCCTACAAAACAATCACATAGATCCTGAATAAACATTTGAATATCAAAATATAGACCACAAAGTAGCTACTTTGAACCATGTGTTTAACTGTTGAAAAAACAACCTTCAAGCAACAAAAGAAATTTGGAACGATGAAATAAAATGTCATATATGGACAGTTTATGCGACATTAGGTTCATGACCATGAACCCTCACTCGATATATGCAAGTAAAGTTAGGGTTTCCATGATTAGACGTGAATTCAAGCCGGATTGTGTCCACAACGGTTGGGTCCACCACATTGAAAGTTTGTACATTACTCTTTTTAAGGTTGTATCTGAACTTTGTCAGCAAATGCATTTTTTCCTTCCTCTCCTCATCGCCCAACCATCCTAAAACTTTACAAGCCTTGGGAGCATTGGATCGGTCTAATGCCACACTCTGTTTCATGACAACATAAAACATAAAAAAAAAAAAATTAGCTTAATCACAAGAGTTTATATAAGTGATGGGTTAATTACAAGAAACAACAATTTGCTTTCAAAATGAGCGAAGTAGTAGCAAACGATGAAATTTTAACACTTTGAAGAAGTTTTATCTCAATAATAATTATTTGAAGAATGATTAGTGTTGTATTAATCATATTAACATATTTTGTTATGATATCAGTTATATTTAAATTTTTAAAATTCAACAAAATAGCAATTTACGGTCCCCAATTAATCTCGCCTGGCTGATTAATCTTTTGACCAAAGTCTAGAATTAGCTAACGTCGAGTGTTTTTTACAACCTTGCTTTTAATATTTATTGTTATTAATGCATTGGGTAAAAATGACTACCTAATATTAATACTTATTAGGGCAAATATGCTTTGAAAAATCTACTCAATTATCGGAGCAATCAATCTGTCAAATGCCACAATGTGTTCATGATGACATAAAACAAGAAAAAAGTCAGTGTGTGTTTAGGTAGAGCAAGAGCATATGCACAAAAAAACTGAAACATAATTTTTTAGTAAACTTGGTATAATTATAAGATGTATCGTAATAATGGTCTAAATGCAAAAAGTATCAACATACTTTCATTTATTTGTGTATCATAAATAACATCATACTTTCATTTATTTTTAATAAAGCCCAATTAAAACCTTGTACCTTTATTTTTTTCTTAATAAACATTTTACTTTGAAAATTCTACCTAGTGAAAAACACGGATGACATTGCTATACAATATTGTAATAGACAGAAATGAAAGTAAGATGGTACAATGTTGTATATTCATCTATAACCACAAGTGACATTGTCAAGAATGAGAACCTATTTGTTGCTCCTAGTGTGCACTTAAATACACACATGTTAGAAAATATGAGTGTCTCTTAAACCATAGAGAACTTACAGACCAAAGTGGAGCATCTACCTCTTTCAAAGCACATGTTTATTTATATACTATAACATAAAAGGGAAGCTTATAATTAAGGCTCAATTTGGCAACATTTGATAGGGTACACGAGCCTATCAAATCAGTGTGCTAAAAGTCATGACATGCATATGACAAGGAAGAGGAAGAATCCTTGAAAATGACATATATGTACCCATGATTCATATGCTTCCTAAGAAATTTGAGCTAAAAAATTAAAGTTGAAAATCAACATATGTCTCATGCCATCACCACAAAAAGAAATGAGGTAACAAAGAAGCATAAGTGGGTAATTAATTGAAAATTCCCTGATAACCAGTCCTAAATTTTTTTTTTTTACATCTTCCAGTGCAGATATACAGTTTATATCATCCGTACAATGCATATTAGTATATTACATTGTATATGTATGTGTGTTTGTTAATGTAACGTGTTGAATCTATGTATGCAAGTATTATGTATAACATACCAAATCACATAAGCAACACAAACTCAGGGTGCATAGGCAGTTAGGCACTAATGTGTTAAATCTATGTATGCAAGTATTATGTTTAACTAGGAAAAAAACTCAAATATAAATACTCTAATAAAATGGGACTAATGTGTTAAATCTATGTATGCAAGTATTATGTTTAACAAGGAAAAAAACTCTCATAAGAACTAAGTAGCTAATAGAAAGGAACTATGAAAATAAATAAATAAATAAATAAAATAAAAACCTCTAATAAAATGGTTTAGACAAAATTGCAAGAATGGTCCCTGTGGTATGTCAACACTAGCACATTTGGTCCAAAATGGGTTTGACTTGCAAGGATGGTCCAATAGTTTCGTTTTGTTGCGAGTTTGGTCCAATTTCCAGTGAACTTTTTTATAATGATGGATTTGCCCTTATATTTTAATTTTCCATTTTATTTTATTATCAGTAATTAAAAAGCAATTAAAAATAAAACAAAAATAAAATACTCTCTCTCTCTCTCTTCCTCTTTCTCTATCTATCTATCTCTCTCTCTCTACAAACAAAATTAATACAGATCTGGTAGTGGATTTGTAAAATGAAGAACCCTAACTTTTATCAATTTTGTTCAATTCATTGTATGAAGTCGAATAGACTAAACACATACACACTCATATATGCATATGAATCTCAAGAACACTCGGTTTTTCTGAGTTCAAGAACAAGAACATCATATTCACAAACTAAGAAATCGATTTGTGATTAACTGCCATCACCACCATCGGAATCAATTTCTTCTATTAATTGCCCAACTCAAACCTATAAGCACACAAACAACTCAATAAACATAAAGATGAAGGTAAACTGCATCCCTTTTATCCCCCCCTAAATCGCAGACACTGTATACCCTAAATCAGTACAGGTTAAAGAGATTACGATTTACATATGAAAGGGGTTACGATTTACAACCTAGAAATTTTTGCTTCCTTTCCAATTATTGAATCAAATTCCAATCATGTCCCCCTCTCTTGTTCTTCTTTGAATCGGTGTTTGAATCAAATGCCAATCATGTCCCTCTCTCTTGTTCTTCTCATCACTGCTACACCCCATCACCATGCTCGTCACCTTCAGATATGTTCAGTCTGTAGCTAGAGGATCCGGCGGTGGTGTGGAGATGTAACCCAGATCGATGACCCCCTTGATAAATGATAACCACTTCGTCGGAGGCTTAACAGCCGAGGAAAATTGATCCGAGGTGTCTTCCCCTCGATTTCCAGTCGCGAAACCCTCCATCTGAAAATCCTAGCCGCCAAGAAACCCTAATCGTCAAGAAACCCAAACTTCAGATCTCGATCTCGTTTCTCTCGTTGGCATCTGTCTAGGTTCAAAGGGAGGGTCGCAACATTCGAATCGGGTGTTTAGGGTGGTGCTACCTGACCGGAGGGAGGCGGAGGGGCAACCTAGGCCGGTGACAACCACTCATTCTTCTTCTTTGGACATTAGTAAGCAAGAAACGAGAGAGAGAGAGAGAGAGAGAGAGAGAGAGAGAGAGGGTATTTTATTTTATTTTGTTTTATTTTTAATTATTTTTAATTGTCGGTAATAAAACAAAAATGAAAAATTTAATAATAAGGGCAAAATCATATTTCCAAAAAAAATCAAATCAATTTGGACCAAACTTGCAAGAAAATGAAACTTTTGGACCATTGATGCTAGCCAAAACCGTTTTGGCCCAAACATGCTAGTTTTGACATACCACAGGGACCATTTTTGCAATTTTTTCAATGGTTTAAGAAGGGTAAAAAAAATTGTTATGTCAGGTTTCTTGACTTCCTTTTGGGTCGGGTTAACCATTCGGATCGCCAAAATTCCAAATTGCATGGTAACAAAAACTAAGTAGCGAAGAGAAACGAAGTAGGAAAAAAATTCAAATAAAAGATTCAAATAAAATCATAAAATGGTTTAACAAGAAAAAAAACTCTAATAAAAACAAGTAGCTTATAGAAACAAGCATTAATAACAAGGAAAACAACTCTAATAAAAACTAAGTAGCTCATAGAAACGAACCTTAGAAACATGTTCAACGGTGATTGCCTCAGGAACAACACTGGTGCAAAGCTTAACCTCAACAAAACCATTGTCTCCTTTTAATGGGAAACATTCACCAGTCTGACCAAAACTTGGTTGTAGCATCTTCACAGCATCACGATGAACATTCCCAGAAATCCATCTACTAAGTCTGCTACTAAGAACCGAAGGCTTGGAATGCTTTAATACCCTCCCTCCACAAGATGCCACTGCATAATCAACTCTACCGATCCCATCAGCAGCATGTTTTGCAATCTCTTTCTTAATAATTTCTCTCACTTCGTCCCATTCTAACCGATCCCAACTAATCAAGGTCTTCTCCATGCTTTCAATTCTTTCATCTAACTCGGTTTCTAACCTCTCAAACTCGACCCAGAGTTTAAGTATCATTGGAGCCAAAATCAACAGTACAAGTAGAAGAAAAACGTTCATCATGATTAAAGTCGTCTTCCATTGAGAACACCAGACGACATTCCCCCTGCTGGGTGGAGAAGCGTCAACTTCATCACTCCCGCCAGATTTACTTCCACCCATAACTACGGGTCTACGCAAACGCCACACAACAGTAGAAGGATTTGCAACGATTGAGACACAGTGAGAAAACATTAATTTAAGAATTTGAAGATTTGTTTCAAATGAGAGTTGGGAATATAAGTAATAACTACTTGAGCTTTGAGAACTATGATTGGGAACCCAAATGAAAATAAGATTCCGGTTTTCTGGGGAACTTCTGACATCTCGATGGATATAGAGAATATGGAAGGTCGATCATCATTACCAAAACTGACGGTGATGTTAGGCTTGGGGAGTGGTGCACCGGTTCAGGCCAGAGTGGGGCAAATGACCGTGCGATTTGATTGGTCTCCGTTTTTTCTTACCATGGTCGTATTTTAAAATAATTTTTTTTAACTAACCCTATATATGATCAATCGATTTATTCGTCTCCCTATTATCAATTTTTTTCTTTAACTAACCCAAAAGGCATATCAATGAAAACAAATACCCATTAAAAACACCACAACCTCAATATCTTTCATATGATCAATCAATTTATTCGTCTCTGTATTATCACTATGGCGGTTTGCTTCCGTATTTTCCACAACAAATCTCACAACCACAATGACCAACACAAACACTACCACAAACACAACCACAACCCGACCCATATTTTAATTCACTTGATTTTTTGTTTCAACCTGAGTTTGTTCAACAAACACAATCACAACCACGAATGGTCATTTCTGAATTCGAACCGGAATTCGTTCAAGAAACTCAACCCACTCGAGTAGCAAGTAAAAGAAAAGAGAAGGCGCCGACTAAAGGATGGGAACCCCTAAAAGTGTTAGTGTTGGCACAATCATTGATCGATATTTTAGAAGATACGACGATTGGAACAGACCAAAAACATGATCGTTTTTTGATTCAGGTTTTACATAGGTTCCACAAAGGAATGAACTGTGGAATCTATCGTTCAAAACATCAAGTGTACTCGAAATGGCGGAAGGTGAACATGAAAATCATATTGTTTAATGATTTGTATACCAACATGAAACGTCAATGGAAAAGTGGAGAAAACGATGATGTGATTTTGCAGAAAGCGCTGAAAGTGTATCAGCGACTAGGGAATTAACGATTGTTTTGTTGTTTTGTGCCTATGACATGGCCAAAAGGAGGCCACGATGTGGAGGGTCGTTGTGGCATTTTTTTTACCTTGGCTTAGACCGTTAACTTTGAGGGTTGACTTTTGACTCGTTGACTTTTAGTCAACCCTTTTGAGATCTCCCAACCTAAAGGCTTTATTCAGAGGTGGGTCTTTCAAACGCCTACTCTTTCGATGAAGGGTGTACTGCAAGAGAATCGGTACTAAAGATATTAAATTGGGGGGATTTCGCTGATATTAAGTCAAATATAAACTATTCATCTTGCTTGGAGCTGTCGTTGTGTATGGGAAAGAGGGCTTCTACCTATGCATGGTAGGGAAAAAGGTGAATGGTCCCAAAAGGGACGGGAAAAAGCCACTAGAAAGAACGGGAGGTCATCCACCGAGTATCAAGCTGGGTAGTCCACTTTATCTGTGACTCTGAGTACAAGATTTTCGGGATCAAGAAACTAGCAAACAAATATGATCGGTTGGACTCTTTTCTCATATGCCCGGAAAACAACTCCACTTGCTGCAAAGCCTTTATTTATCGTCCAAACACTCCAGATCTGCACTTCCCTTTACTCCATAGGGCCGAAGCCTTATTAAGTTAAGAATTAAGAAGGGCTTTTTTTTTACAGAGAGAGAGTCATGGGCGATCTATATTGCTTACCACAACTCTATTCCCGACTTGAAATCCATAACGGACTTTAAGAGAGGATAAACATTCTCGTTCTATATGTAGCACTATCCCTATTAGATTAGAGAAGGGTGAGGGCCCACTTCCTTCTGATCTGCTAGCACTGTGAATTATCTTAGACCTTTTGCAGCAGGAACGAGATAGATCACCTACTCTATTGGTTGTATGCTCTCTCGAGGTCTTCCTTATCTAGGTACAAAAAGGACATTACGGGATATCTCCAAAATTTGATGTACTTCGTGCAGGACACATCTCATGTTTGCCGAATATAAAAATCATCGCCTTTGCATCCAAACACTTCACAGCGGCTATGATCAGATCCCAGTGTTGGTTCACTTTTGACTTTATCTTCCACCAAATCTTCTGATCTCATGTTCTCAATAATGTTAAGCAGCTCCTGCTTTTTAGAAAGATAGCCTAAGGGTTTATCTTGTGTGGTGATCTAGGTGACGTTTAGCATGTATTTTTTGATTTTGCGAGCCGTTGACTTTTGGCTTCATTAGCGATGTGAGTCTTCTCACTATATTGTAGGATGTTAGTTGTCTTTGTGACTCCTGCATTATATGTTGGGTTGGGCCCATTTGTATGTTGGGTTGGGTCCATTTGTATGTTGGACTGGGCCCATTTATATATGTTGAATTGGGTATATTTATTAATATGTTGGGTTGGTCCCATTTGTTATTGGACTGAGCCCATTTGTTATATGTTGGGTTGGGCACATTTATCGGTTTGTGGTATTTTGAGAAACTCACCGAACTCTGTGCTTACGTTTTTGTGGTTTAATATTTTCAGGTACTTCCAATTCGAAAGGGAAGGGCCCGACATGATCACATAACATCCCCTTATGATTTCTGCATCGATGATTGTGTTTACTCTAATGTTTTTGATACATTTTTTTATGATGGTTTTGAGACACATGATGTATGTTTTTGATGATTTAAAAATGAAAATTTTTATCACTATTTTTGGGATGTTGCATAAGAAAACAATGAAAATTCAATTTCTCAATCTCATTACATTAAGAAGATATTGAGAGAGTTTAACTTTGAAACTTGTTCTACTATTAAAAATCCTATAGATCATAATCTTAAGCTTCTACCTAATAAAGTAGTTTTAGTGTCTCAACTTGGATACTCAAGAGTTATTAGATGTCTTATGTATGACATATGTAGTACTAGGCCAAATATAACATATATTATAGGAAAACATAGTAGGTATGCTAACAATCATAGTTCACATCATTGGAAAGCTTTAAATCGAGTATTCAAGTACTTGAAATGAACCATTGATTATAGTTTTACACACAATGGATTCCTTTATGTTTTAGAAGGTTATTCAGATGCCACCTGGATTAACAAAATTGAGGATCACTCCTTTACAAGTGGTTGTGTATTCCTTCAAAGAGGTGTCACAACTGGCAAATTTAGGGTTGAGATTGTGATGCATGTACAAAACAATTTCCTCTGTGTAACCTTACAACATCAAATTAGTAAGATTCAAACTACAATGCTATTTGAATACGTACGTGCATACGTTGTGAATAAAGTTGAAATAGTCTATTGCAAGCCCAAAACTTAAACCAATAGTTGAGCCCAAACAATTTTGGGCCTTGACCCAAAAATTCTCGAGCCAACACCCTAGACCGAAAACCCTTTCTTTGGGCGTTAATTGGACCAAAAACCTTCATGGGGCCAAATTAAGCCCAAAAGTATTATGTACTCATCAAAACCGCAAACCCTTTTATGAATTAAGGGTGTTTTCGACCACCCTAAAACCGAAAACCCCCATGAAAAAACCATAGGGGCCGAAAACCCCCTAGTTTCGGTTGGGGTTTAGAAAAAAATGCAAGAAAAGGGGTGAAAACTCATTTTTACCCCTCAAATAACAAGGCCTTTTAACCACCATACCTCTATGCATGAATCCCATCAACCATCAACAAAGTCAACTCCCCCCCTCTCTCTTATTCTCTGCCAAAACACACACGCCTCACCAACACTCATTCCACCCATTTTACTCTCAAGAAACACTCTCTTTTTCCCTCAAAATTTTCGAGACCATCTTCAAGGAAGGATTTCACTTCAAGGAAAAATCTTAGTCATTTGGTAAGAATTTCACGTAGCCCTTGTAATTCCAAACATCTTTATGCTACAAACTTCTTGTTTACACACTTTTGTTGTGTGTTAAATTCTTAGAAAACACTTGAAAGATTCGAAAATTTCTCCAAGCTCAAGACTAGACTCAACGACTTCTTCTTCTTCTTCCTACAACACAAAACCAAGGTGAGTCCATACCCCTAAATTTTCACGTTTTCTTCAAGGCTTTTTTTTTTTTGGGGGGGGGGGGGGGGAATACAAGTTACAACATCAAAACATAATCTAAACTTAAACATCAGCTTTCAACATAAAAGTTCTATTCACACACTGTTTTGACCATCTTAAACTTAATATTTTTCAAAACTGTTCAATATGAAAATAGTTCATGTTTATACATTTCTAAATACTACTCGTACGCATTCATACGATTTTTCTACAAATTTTGGCGATTTTTACAAAACTGCCTATCATTTCAGAAATAATTTCGGACCAGTCGGTGAAGATGAGCATTTTCACACTGGTTTGAGACCACTAAAAATTATAATAAAAATTATGAACAAATTAGACTCATTTTCTAAACTCTCAGAGTTTACGGATCCAAATTTCGACTTACGATGATTTTTCTATAATTTTTCTAAAAACATGGACAGAAAAGTCAAAAACTAGAAATTGTCTTTATCATACTAAAACTTCTTATACTTGTGTTAGATGTAAGTTTATATGATCTATTCTTTTAAAACATCTAGACAGTGGCAGACGCATAACGTTATAGTAGGGGTGGCACTGTTTTTTTTTTTTCCGAATAAATCTAAATTAGTAGTGGAACTCGTATTTCAAGCCGGTGCACCTAATAGAAAAATACATAAAAAAAACATTAATTTTTTTTTACAATACGTGCTGGAATTGGAGCAGTGGCCCGTGACCCCCTGGGCTCCACTAAGGTCTGCCACTGCATCTAGACATGTTAACTTATATGTATTTATATATATGATTATATAAATTGTCTTGACAAACAAACATGGTAAACTATAATCGATATAGTCTGGAGGTCACAAACCACACTTTTCAAAGGTACACATAACTATTTAAAGGCATAAATATCTTATTTTGCAAGTAAAAAGGACCGTAAGTCCTGTAGTTATAACCGGAGTCTCCTGTGGGGGAGAGCGAGGTA